TTGTAAGAAAATAAGACGAGAGAGTGTAGTTTTAGGGCTATATGGTATAAAGATAATTAGGATATTTAAAAAATATTATTAAACGGATACCCGCGGTATGGATATCATCATACCTGCCCCGCCCCATTTATAAACGAGTGAAAAATTATCCGTCCCCATTATCTGCAGGTACCCAATTAGCCTATCTATTTATTATCTGTAGCGGATTTTACCCACAAATATCTACGAGTGTGGGTATTTTTGTCATACGGGAGAAACAATGGTGTGAATAAGAGGAAATTAAAGTAAATAAGTTGAGGGTGATGTGTAAATATTAACAGATTTTATTTTCCAAATTGCAATAAGATCAATGTATAAATTTTAAACATGCAAGGGAGGAACAAACCGACCTTGTTTCAAAAATAGCATCACGACAAGAAATTTTAAGTGTCACTATAATGCTAATTCGGATTCTATTTTCAAATTTGAAATTTTTGGAATTTTATATAACTTTATTCAAGTTGTTCGATTTTAGTAACTTCACTGCCTTGTTTGATTAGAGTGAAATATAAAGAAAAGAGAAAAACGAAAAAAGAAATGCTCCTGGTTTGATAAAAAAAAATGAGAAAGAGAAAAATAAAAGTAACTCCATTTATCACTTTTTGTTTTCTTGTTTTGCATAAAATGTAAGGAAGAGAAAGAAACAATTATTTTCCATATTTTCTAAAATTTTATTATTTTATTTATAGTCCCATATTGTTAATAAGATTATTATTATTATTATTACTTTGTTTCACATTTTTCTCATATTATATAATCCAACAACATTGAAGCAGAAAGCCCAATTTGAAACAAGATTCATCACCAATTCGAATTAGTAATGTCTGTAACCCACTAGGAGATCAAATTCGATTACCATTATTTGTGGATGAAACCACAGCTTTGGGCCCGGAAAAGAGGATATGAGAAACTTTGTAACGGGCGATTCTATTTGCTTCTCATGTTTTCTCATCCCACTCAATGCTTTCTTGTGTTTTTATTTTATTTTATTTTTGTCAAAATACCTTCCTAAAAATTAATTTCCAGAATGTATTTTTCAAAAATAATTTGATGTACCAAAATTTATTTCAGAAATATTAAATGTTCAACACATTTTAAAAAATAGTGTTTAGATTATAAGTGATAAATTCTTTTCTGAAAAAATATATCACATGTTTCTCTGCGTTCAATTTTTCTTACGCTTTTCCGTGTTAAAAATTATGAATGCTTTTTTGTTTTAAAAAATTCTAAATACAGAAATTAACTTAATAAAAAAATAAATATATTATTGGTTTTTTACAATGCCATCATTTCTAATTTTAATCCTTATTAAATTTTATGGGCATTCTAAAAAGTTGAGTGGTTAGTTTGTAGTCCCTTCATCTCCAAAAACCCCTTTTCAAGTTAGTTCTCAATGACTTGTTCTCATAGCAAGACAAAGAACTTTGTTTCCATATTGACAAATAGAATCACCATTCCTTTGTTTGAAATCCTAGATGATTATTGAGATTTCACGTGAAACATATTAAATTTTGATTCAATTTCTTGGAGAATAAATTTTAACTTTCAAATCAAGAATCCTAACATATTTAATATTTTATTAGTTTTCATTTAATAAAAAAGAAAAAGACCCTATGGTTCCATGTGAAAATAATTTAATGTCATTAGAAATATGCATACGTATGTAAAACACATCCGTTTCAGTAACAAAACAAATGTACGACAAGAAAACGTTGGAGTTAAACAAGGTTAAAGTACGAAAACGAATAAAATAAATTTAAAGACTAAATTGAAATCTAAATTAAACTTAAAAGAGTAAAAAAATTCTCTTTGGGAATTGAATAATTATTTTCATTTGTATGTTATGTTTATTATAATTTAAGGAAAATAAAACAAGATGAATGCAAAATTGATAAAATTGATTACACAGGGAATTTTAACAATATTTCTTAATTATTTCTAAAGATAATTATATGAATGTCATTTTTTTTCTTTATATTTGAGTTATATATAAGAAATAGTAAAAAAATGTTTTTATTTTCTTATTAATTTTAAAATAACAAATTAAATAAAATTTTTATAATGCTTTTATAATAATTTGTAAAAATAATAAAAAAAAATATTCCCATATCAAACAGAATCTAAGGATCTATTTACTTTCATCATTCAATGAAAATATCTTTGTTAAGGACTTAAGCCAAAACAAAGAAAACTATCTACAAAAGATTAATTGTTGATGCATAAAGTTGGGAATCACTTCAAACCATCTCTCTCTTAAATAGAATTTGATAGTTTGAATTATACTCAGAAAGTTAAGTTGAATTTAATTTTTAAAATTAATGTTAAAAAGTAATAATATTTCTCTTACATTTACTCTATTGAAGCTTCTTTACAATTCACATTCAAAAAAAGAAAAGAAGAAGAAAAAATATCTGCCAAACATATACAGTTGCCCGATAGAAACGGATAAACAAACACAAAACACGATCTTTTATTATAAAAAAACAGCATTTCGTGATTTTAAAGACTAGTTAACCGAATCTAATTTAAGCTCGCACCGAGACAAGAGCCATCCCCAATTGACATTCCAAAGGTTTGTTATATTAATCACATGATTTTTGTTTCATCTAACTATTATATCATATTTCTTCTTATTTTCTAATACATGATTTATCATATTTATAAAATAATCTTTATTATTCTTATCTCTTTGTTCTTCTAAGTATACAACCCAAATTGAGGTGTATGTTTAAGTTTTTCCCTTTTCTAAAGCCCTTGACTCAAAGTCCATTACCGTTTCCCAATTTCTTAATGCAACAAAACATAAACATAGCAACCGCGATTTGTCACAATTACATTGTTGTTTCCGCGAATGTAGCAAGAAAATGGAACTTCATCATTACGCATTATTGGTGTTAGTTAGTCCACTCCATGTTTAATAACGTGTTTGAGTTGGAGTCTGGACGTAAAAAATCAAGTTTCATCAGAAGTAATAATATCAGCTTCTCCGTAAATGAATACATGGACATGTTGAGAGAGAATAAAATTAGGTTTGAAAATGAAAATCAAACATGCACCAAGTGAGGCATGGATATGGACGTCTTATTTTGACGCCCCGCGTTAGACAAGACGACTTCGTTTCACGTGGTAATTTAATTATTTATATCATTAAAAAATATTGAAGAACCAATGAGAAAAGCAATTGGCGAATATTAGAATAAAATATTATCGTTTTTGAGTGTGGCGTGGTTGGGTATATCACTATATCGTATATTATAAAGAAGGAAGCGTGGAAAAAGAGGTTGTGAATCGAAACGGAAGAAAATGGGTTGTTCTTTGGTGTGGTTGGTAATTGCGATTCAAGCGTGGAATTGGGGAGTGAAGGCGCAAGTGCAAGTGGAAGGCTTCAGGAACATATTTATACTAGCGGGTCAGAGCAACATGGCGGGTCGAGGGGGCGTCGTCAACGACACGTGGGACGGCGTCGTTCCGCCCCAGTGCGGCCCCAGCCCCTCCGTGGCCAGGCTGGACGCGCACCTCGCGTGGGTGGAGGCGCGTGAGCCTCTCCACGCGGACATCGACTCCAAGAAGAGCAACGGTGTTGGGCCGGGTATGGCCTTCGCCAACTCCGTCTTGGACACTCACCCACAGTTGGGCCCAATCGGTTTGGTCCCTTGCGCCATCGGAGGCACCAATATAAGCGAGTGGGAACACGGAAAATACCTCTACAATCACATGATAAAGAGGGCCAAGGCATCGTTGCGTCACGGTGCCTCTATTCGTGCTCTTCTCTGGTTTCAAGGAGAGTCCGATACGGTCAATCTACACGATGCACAGTCCTACCAAACAAGACTCCAAAAGTTCTTCTCCCACGTTCGTCATGATCTACAGTCTCCGTTGCTTCCTATAATCCAGGTTTTTTTTTTCTTTTCTTTTTTTCAATTATATTCGTCATAAAGATATTTAATTATTAACCACTACTTGTTCCTTAAATTGGTTGGTTTGGTTTGGTTTCGCCTTCTGTTAGTTGTTTATACATTTTCAAAGAAAAGTAGTTGCGCCTCATGTGTATATTTTTTCTTAAACTTCATTTAATTCGGAGCGAAGCAATATCCACGAACGTTATGTATGTCGGGACAAGTAGGAAAACTCAACTGCTAGCAAACAATTGATTTACAGGGAAGTGATAGCAATGCAGGAATCTTCCTTTTCTAGGTAGCTTTGGATACCAAGTACATAGTATTGTATTATATTAGAATTTCGGAAACCTTTGATATCCCATATCTAAAAACAATCTTACTACCTATAATTTTTTTTTAAATATTTCAATTACTTTTCATATTACGTATTTTTATCTTTTCTTTCAACACATTGCACCTTTAAATTAAAATAAATATCCGATTTTTTAATTTTCTTTTTCATTTAAGACGTAAACTTGAATTTTCTACATTTATAATTTCTTTATTACTGTTGAACCAGATTAAGGTTGAGATATAATAAATGGTTGCTTAATGCCTGTTGGTTGAATTCCTGTCAATTCATGTCATCAACTACTGATCTATCAAAATAGCTAGTAGTCTTTTTATGTTCAATAAAACTTCCTTTTTAGCTTTCCAAGTGATAATATTGATTTTGCGTTGATAATTACTTTACCGGACAACTTAAATTAGCACAGATGTTAAGCTATTAAACTAACATCCTTGTCAAAGACAGTAAAGTGTCTTTGTCAACAACACATGTTCGCTTGCTGTTCAGAATCGCACTGAAGAATGAAGATATTGCTCTTTCTTTTTGAATAAATTACACCAATACCTTATCTATTTTATTTTATATTTTTTAAATTGTGCTATTCTTGTCTTTTTAGAATTTAAAGATTTATTATATATTGCAACTGTAAAAGGTTTTATCACATTATTCCATTATCATTGTTAGTATAACCATCGAACCCCTCTTTGTAAAAATCATAAAATTTATACAAAAACATTTATAATTGAATAAAAATATGAAAATCTCTTATACTATCGAGACATATACTATTTATTCACCTTTTCTTAATCATTTGAGATATATTATCGAAAAATTATAGCACACCATGTACTGATAATTACTAAGTGGTCCAAGGCAATCATAATGCCAATTAAATTTTTAATGAAACATAATTAAGTGTCATTAATTTTTTTTGTAAATTAAAAAATTAAATATTTTTTCTATAAAGTTGACAACTATGAATATTAATTAGTAGTGTTGAACTATTTAATTATTTTCACGGTTACAATAAATATTAAAAAGGCATAAGTATTACGTGTAATTAGAAAAATCATTGTAATTTTTTTCTCTCTCACTTTGTAGGTAGCTCTGGCATCTGGAATGGGCCCTTACATAGAGATAGTAAGACAGGCTCAGCTGAGCATTGACTTCCTAAATTTGAGAACAGTGGACGCTCATGGATCACCCCTTCAGCCCGATGGGCTACACCTTTCGACACCGGCCCAGGTGCATCTTGGGCAGCTGATGGCTAACGCATTCCTTCAGTTCGTACCATCCTCAAATCTAAATCACAACGTTAGCCCAATTCGTGATGAGGCCATCAGGCTTTATATTTCTACCTTTTATGTTTATATGCTCCCCTTGTTCATAACGTTTATCACAATTATGCACAAAACTTTCTTATAGTACCATTCTTTTTTCATTACTATTTTCACCCATAGGCATAAACACAATCATGAAGTGAGATTATAGAGTATGTAAGAAAATTCAAGCATTGTATGAATCATTTCAATTTAAAGTGAGATAACTTACTTTATGCTAAAAAGCTTGCCGTTATTGTTATTCATACAGTATAACCCAGCATTCGCTGTATATTAATAATTCTCTAACACTCTCATTCACTTGGCCTGAGGCATACATTTAGCCTCACCATGCTTCTCTCGTTTACATTAGTCAAAACTTATTTTTGTTACCACTGTGTTAATCACTTCCTGCGAAATTATACAAACTTAATATTAGTTCTATTAAAAAAAAATTATATATAATTAATATTAAATATTCAAATGAGAGTTATGTCATTAATATTCAAATAAGGTTATTTGAGGATATAAAAGATATATATAATCATAAAAATAAATAAGTAAATAAAGATTTTTGGGTACATTAAAAATGCATTACAATCCACTAGAATGTTACTCTTAAAGGGTGTTTGATATGTGAAATATTTACATTTTTTAGAAATTTAAAGCAAAAATCCTAGTTTTACATGTTTAAAAGCTACTTTAAAAAAAAATTAGGAATGTAGTTTTTCAACAAACCTTTATTGTCCCACTTTTCTTACAAAAATTTCTCATGCAGATAAAATCTAATTTTTCTGAATGAAGAAAAAGTTTTATGTATATAAAAAATATCACATTATTCATTTCGCTCACTCTTTCTCTCTTTTCCTCTCCTTCTCCCTCTTCCTCTAATTCTGGCTCTCTATCTCTCTCACTTTCACTCCTCCTCTATTCCTCTCCCTCTCCCTCTCCTTCTCCCACTCCCCTCTCTCCCTCCTTCTCCCCCTCCCCTCTCTCCCTCCCTCCCTTCCTTCCATATCTCTATTCCCTACTTTTTTTTTTGTCTAATTATTTGTTGGCCTTATCAATTTTAATAATATTATTAAAATATATTTTGTATTTATATTTTAATGCTATTTGTTAATATTTTTTTATCTATTTTATTTTAATAAAATAAAATAATATATTTTTATTCTTCTTAATTATAATGTAGCATTTCTTTTTAATTACGTATTTAAATAATTTTAATAGGTTTTCAACTTTTTTAAATAATTTAATGTATCATATTTGTAATAAATTTTGAGTAAATAAATATATCTAATGAATTTATTTTAATAAAAGGTATTTTCATGAAAATATATTTATAAACTAAAAAGTACTCTATTCAAACTAAATATAAAATTCTTTAATTATCAAACATTATGTATGAATATTTTCAGAAAAATTATGAAAAATTAAATATATTTTAATTATTTTTAAGAATCATAATTTTCATGATTTATACTTGTCATAAATCATGATATATATATATATATATATATATATATATATACAGATAGAAAAAACCTTTTCTCCATCAAATATCCCCTTAAATATCTATATCTCAAATTTGAAATTTACTCTGTATTTTGAAGATGCATCTCGCCATGTTAACATGGAACGGGTAAGGTTATTAACACTCAAATTTTATGTTTACAAAAAGGTCTAACATATATATAGTTCTCTTAATTAAAGAAAAATCTCTCAAATTTTATTTTAACTGTTGTACCGAGGCTAAATACTATCTCACGAATGTTCAATTCTTACCACACGATGAAGTTAATTTGTTAATTTTTATATGCATCATTCAGACTGACATTTTCAACGATAATTAAATTGGAAAATTGTGTATTGTAAGACATTGTTTGGTAATAGGAGAAATAGTGGCACCCTGAGCATAAGTTGGTGGCTGTAACTCTAGGATTTTACTGTTGGAGGGACATCAAAAAATTATTGTTGTGTCTATAAAACATAAAAAAAATTATATAATTAAATTATTAAAAATATATTAGAGAAAATAAAATAATTATAAACATATAATCAATAATCATTAATCAATTTTTGTATTACTAAAAAAAATCTATCAATAATTTTAAAAAATTAAATTGATAATTTATATGTAAAGAGGAAAGTGTGATATATTATTAATTTTTTCATTTTTAGTGTTAATTTCTATAAGTGTTAATGTAAAATCTTAAGTATGATATGTCTTTAATTTTCTCATTTTTTTCTTTATCTATAACTTATTTGATTTTCTTTTAATTTTTTAAATTTCAAGATTGCATTGAAATCTTCCTTCAATAAAATCTTGAAGTCAAAATATGATTTTTTTCCCTTTCTGATGAGCTTTTATGTAATATGTCATCATTATTAATATATTTTTTTATTACATAACTATTATAACGATAACATGTAGTTTTATACAAATGTATTATGTGTTTAATAATTTTTTATATAATTATTTGTATGTTTATACTGTATGTTTATATTTTTAAGTTTGAGAATTATAATTATAAGTAATATTTAAATATTTATAAAAGTATTATTTTTTAACTTCGCTTAAAACACCATAAACATCATGGCCGGTGGTGTCGAGAAACAGATGAGAAAGAATATTAAGAAAAGTTCCATGAGCTGCGGATTTCATTGTTTTTTTTTTCCTCGTTATCCCTCTTGATTTTCTTAAAAATTTGATCTGCACAAGGCTACCATTGGGCAGGGCTAGTACTATTATAAAGCAAATCAAATCTTTGATCTAGATTCTAAAGTTATTTTTATTAAAATTATTTAAAATAAATAAAAGGTCAATAATCACTGCTAAAAAAATACCAATTTATTATAAATAATTATATTTTTTTAAAATATCTATTGCTTATTATGACTTCTTGTCTCTTCATAAAAAAAAAACTAGTTTTATTAGCATGTGTATTGTGTGCAGTTAATATTTATTTGTATATATAATTTATAATAAATAAGTAGTTTTAAATATATAAATAATATTATACTACAGTTAAAATTTATAAAAAAAATATATATAATATTTTTAAAATATATAAATTTTATTTTAAATTTATAATGAATAATTTAAATTTTGATATAATACTACTTTTAGATTGAAATGGATAAATGATTTAAAAAATCAAGTGTAAAGATAAGATAAAAGGCTGGTAGTTTGAGATGTTTACGAGAGATATATTCTGTTTTTCTAGTATAGGAGATAGTGCGTAAAATATACCTTTATAGAAAAGAAGAGACGAGGGAGATTATTGCAAATCTTCAATTGAGAAAGTCGAGAACGAGGCTGCATATATAAGGAAGGATTCGAACTCCTGACCTTGCTTAAACGTGGATTAATCTCTACCGCTGAATCATACGTTTAGGTAATGTTTCTTAAGATTTTTTTTACTATGTACTTATATAATTATGTATTTTTATAATTGATTTTAAAAACAAAATTTTATGTTTTTTTAACTTTTATCTTCTACATCTCTTTGATCTCTATTCTATTTTTCTTTGAATTTTCATATTGTAGTCTATTTGTGACAATAAAACGTTTTTAAAGATGTAAAAATATTATGTGGTGTTATGATCAACATTCTAGATTTTTTTACGTATTTAGGATAAATTAAAACCAAAATTTGAAGATTTGAAAAGTGTTGAGTTAGAAGTACAATTCTTTCAATTTGCAACTATACTTCCAACAATCTTAATGAACAAACATAACATTTTATATAAGCAGAATAAATATAATTTATGATAATCTTCTCTATGGTCAAATACTAAAAATCTAGAAGAAAAAGAGTTTCACATTACAAAAATATATTATTATTTTATGTTATTATATTTGTTAGTATACTTAACCTTCTAATTTGAACTCAAATTTTTTATTACCCAAAGATTTTTTTTTTACCATTTTACCATATTTTATTTTATAATTTGATTAGTTTTTACATTTTATAATCTAAAATATGTATATGTTTGAAAATTTTATTTAATTTTATTAATTATAAAATAAACTCATTTGTAAAAAGGTTATTAATATATTAAATTTATGTCCAACATATATTGCATCGAGTTATTAAATTAAATATCAATATATTTTAAAAAATTATCAAGTTATAATAAAACCGTATTTTATCAAGTTTTTTTTAGACTTATACATATTAATAGGCAAATATTTCATTTGAAGAGAAAAATAAATTTGTTTTTTTCAATATTTTGTAAAACTTTGAATTGCTAAAGAAAATAAATCATTCAAATAAAAAATTTAAAAAAATCATTAATTAAATTTTAAGCATGTAATTATATATTATAAACAATTGATTACATTTTAATATATATAATAGTAATTATGTAAATATTTAAAATATATTTAAATAAGTTTTATTTTTTTTAAAGTGACTATCTTAAGTGTTAAAATCATTGTTAGAGACTAATAATGATTATTTTATATTTTAGAGAAATAAAAATTGAAAGAAAAATATTTTACTAGACCAAAATCAAAATTTACTTAGTTTACAAAGACTAAAAGACTAAAATTAAAATTTACTTAGTTTACAAAGACTAAAAATATATTATAAAGACTAAAAAATAATGTTTACAAATTTTAGAAAAATATAAAATAAAGAGAAAAAAATCAGAAATCAAAGTTAAAACTCATTTATTTTACAAAGACTAAAAATATAATTAAAATATAATTATATTATAAAGATTAAAAATAATGTTTACAAATTTTAGAAAAATAAATAATAAAAAAATTCAGCAACCAAACCAAAAGTCATTACTAAAAGTCTGTACATATTATATTATTTAAAACTAAAAATATATTTAAAATTTAATTATATTATGTTCACGTGTATAAATGGCTGCATAGCATTGGTAGTTTTGTAAATAGAAAAATGTAATAATTTCAGAATGCGTAGTTGACTGTTAAGCAAAAAGAAAAGATGTGCGTTGACTGTGAAACGATAATTATAGAAGTGAAGGTATGGAGGGTCCAAAATCACGAGATTTATGCATTTTTAAGTTTGAAAACTTTGCAAATTGTTGAATTAAATTATAGGTCAGCAGGGTTTTGAACAGTTGGACAATACACACGTCCAGCATCCAGCAACATGGGATATATATTATATAGTTACTAAGTAAGGTTGTTTCAGATTTGAATTTTAGCGGGACAAGATTGCAATGCACTATATGTACCCCAAAAAAATTCATATTTATTTTAGAGAAGCCTTATCTGTTTGCTATTACGTTACCATAGATTATGAACATACAAGAATAAGATGAGGATAAACAACTTCTTTTGTGACCTGTACCCAACCTTGCCTTTTACAACTTCTCAAATCAGGATAATCATCATACTTTTTCAATCTTATTTTAATATTCATTTTATTTTTTTTTATGAAATTTCTAGATGGTGCAACAAAGTATGTTTAACTATAGTATTTTAATCTGGACCATGTCCAGGATATAATAACCTTATATTTTATATTAAAATTTATAATTATTTATACCTAAAATTTATAATACATAAATATTTTCAATATGCTAAATATATTATAATTCAATTTTATTATAAATATATTTTCACATATACATTATATATTAGATTTATAATAAATAATTTATATTTGAATATTAAATGTTTTTGATCATTTATAATTTTAAAATTATATATTAAAATTAAATTTTGATATAAAAATAAAATATTAGTTGAATAAGATTAAAGATCAGAAAAATCTCTAAATGTTCTCATTGAATAAAACTCCATAAAAATGTTTTTTGTTATAACAAAATCGCCAAAAACACTTCTGTATAGCATAATTATTATAATTTATATAATAAAAATAATATTAACTTTTTTTTATAAAATTTTGGATCAAATAACATTATTATATTAAGTTTAGTAGATGAAAATAATTGTTTAATTAAGAGAGGAGATTACATTAAAGTTAGTTAATTAGATTTCTTGATAAATATTAATCATTGACAATACTGATAAATACTTCACAGCAATAATAATATAGTTAAAAAACTATTTTTATAATTTTTTACAGTTTATTTTGTTTCATTATTATATCACCTTTTTTTTATACCATATCTTCTCTTCTTATTATATCTATTTTAAATTTCTAATTCTAGAAAAAAGTAAAACATGAGAAGGAATAGAATTTCATAATAAATTTTATACTAGGAGCACGGTTGTCAAAATAAATTTGAAACATTATCTCTACGAGATTAGATAATGCCGCTGCAAATTTATTAGCTAACCGAGCTTTGGTTTAGGTAGGATGTTGAACCAATCTAAATATTAAATAATATAATTAAGTTGACTCAATTTTGATTTATATATTTTCAGATAATCTGAATCAAACTAGTAAAATTTAATAATATTTGGTTTAAAATCAGACGTGTTTTCATTTAATCGATTAAATATTTTATTTAATCTATTGAATTTTAGATTTAATCAATTATATTTTTTAATTTAAATATATTTAAACTATTATTCCTTCAGTTATGAAACTTTGATTCTTTTAACTTTTTAACCTTTTTTTTTCTTCTTCAAAACTTTGGTATTTTTAGAATTCTAACACACTTTTTTTATATAATTTTTTCTAATTATACTCTTAAATGTAGTTGAGTAAATAAGACTACTTTAAATAGAGCAATTAGTGTTATTTTGAGTTATATGCATATGTAGTTGAAAATATTGTAAAAATCTTTAAATTAATAAATGAGAATAAATTAGTCCAAATGTATATAAATTAAATATTTTTAATTTGTGTGTAAAAGACTAAGAACCAAAATTTCATAATAGAAGGAATATTTAATTGTTTTTATTAAAAAATAATTTTAAAATATTTTTAATTCTCTCTATTGTATTTTTTTTCTTATTTCTCTTAAACAAAATAACTAATCTTTTACTCTATTTGTAACATTGTCAATTTCTATGTTGTTTGATTTGACCGAAGCTTCATAATTCAAGTTTTTAAAAGTTGTAGAGAGAAATTCACTATTCCTTCTCCTTTCTTTCTTCTCACTAGAAAACCTTCATTAATAAGCAGGAGAACTAGATGAATAAGTTGTTAATTTTATAAGCTATAGATGTGTAGGATAAATACATATCTTAACTATGATACATAGAAATTAGAAAGGAGTTAAAGATGTTTTCAAACTTAATATTTCATTGCGTGAATATGCTGCAAGAGTCTAGTTGAACCTAGCTGGTAAGTTGGTCTCTAAATGGATAATATGTTTTTCAGTTTTCTCCTCTAGGTATTATGTGGTATCTGTGTTTGAACAAGGTCAAGGCACACGTATATAAAGTGACTAATCGAGAAAGTACCAGTCGAGGACTTAGTGTCTAACCTAGTATTAGAGGGTTATGGTATTTGGAGGGTAGTCAATGGGCTAATTCCATAGATGGCTTAGTGTTGTAGACTAATGTCATAGTAGGCTTATATTCAAACTATTCTATCATGACAAAATATCATACTTCCTTATTTAAGTGGTGAAACTTGAGAAATCAATCTAGCTTATGCTAGCTGTTGTTTCTAGCCTTATGTTAGTTGTTGTTTTTTGGCCTTACTGTCAGTCGTTGTTTCTGGTATTATATCATTCGTTGTGATTCAATAGGGTCAAACCACCTAAATTGTTCGATCAACCTAAGATATAGGAGATCTCCAAAGTTGTACTACAAGAAAAACGTAAATTTTCGACGGATATAAATCTGTTAGAAAATTTTCAACGGATATTTTCGACAAAATTTTTCGTCGGAAATATAAATTCGTCCGAAATTTCTGACGAAAATATAAATTTAACGTTTATCACAATTATGCACAAAACTTTCTTATAGTACCATTCTTTTTTCATTACTATTTTCACCCATAGGCATAAACACAATCATGAAGTGAGATTATAGAGTATGTAAGAAAATTCAAGCATTGTATGAATCATTTCAATTTAAAGTGAGATAACTTACTTTATGCTAAAAAGCTTGCCGTTATTGTTATTCATACAGTATAACCCAGCATTCGCTGTATATTAATAATTCTCTAACACTCTCATTCACTTGGCCTGAGGCATACATTTAGCCTCACCATGCTTCTCTCGTTTACATTAGTCAAAACTTATTTTTGTTACCACTGTGTTAATCACTTCCTGCGAAATTATACAAACTTAATATTAGTTCTATTAAAAAAAAATTATATATAATTAATATTAAATATTCAAATGAGAGTTATGTCATTAATATTCAAATAAGGTTATTTGAGGATATAAAAGATATATATAATCATAAAAATAAATAAGTAAATAAAGATTTTTGGGTACATTAAAAATGCATTACAATCCACTAGAATGTTACTCTTAAAGGGTGTTTGATATGTGAAATATTTACATTTTTTAGAAATTTAAAGCAAAAATCCTAGTTTTACATGTTTAAAAGCTACTTTAAAAAAAAATTAGGAATGTAGTTTTTCAACAAACCTTTATTGTCCCACTTTTCTTACAAAAATTTCTCATGCAGATAAAATCTAATTTTTCTGAATGAAGAAAAAGTTTTATGTATATAAAAAATATCACATTATTCATTTCGCTCACTCTTTCTCTCTTTTCCTCTCCTTCTCCCTCTTCCTCTAATTCTGGCTCTCTATCTCTCTCACTTTCACTCCTCCTCTATTCCTCTCCCTCTCCCTCTCCTTCTCCCACTCCCCTCTCTCCCTCCTTCTCCCCCTCCCCTCTCTCCCTCCCTCCCTTCCTTCCATATCTCTATTCCCTACTTTTTTTTTTGTCTAATTATTTGTTGGCCTTATCAATTTTAATAATATTATTAAAATATATTTTGTATTTATATTTTAATGCTATTTGTTAATATTTTTTTATCTATTTTATTTTAATAAAATAAAATAATATATTTTTATTCTTCTTAATTATAATGTAGCATTTCTTTTTAATTACGTATTTAAATAATTTTAATAGGTTTTCAACTTTTTTAAATAATTTAATGTATCATATTTGTAATAAATTTTGAGTAAATAAATATATCTAATGAATTTATTTTAATAAAAGGTATTTTCATGAAAATATATTTATAAACTAAAAAGTACTCTATTCAAACTAAATATAAAATTCTTTAATTATCAAACATTATGTATGAATATTTTCAGAAAAATTATGAAAAATTAAATATATTTTAATTATTTTTAAGAATCATAATTTTCATGATTTATACTTGTCATAAATCATGATATATATATATATATATATATATATATATATACAGATATTTACTCTTAAATCATATATACAAAATATTATATTAATCAAAGATGATTTCTTATAAAACAAAATTAAATCTATCAGAAAATTTATATTTTCGATGAGAAAAGTTTTGTAGGAAAAGCTATATTATTGATGGAATATTTCAGACAAATTTATATTTGTCGAAAATGTAAGAACTGGTTTTAAATTTGATATGAAAATATTATGATATAATTAGATAAGATTTTAAGTTAATATTTTATTAATGGTTGATAATTAAAAAATAAAACAAGGATAAATGTAACGACCCGCCATAGGTCGTCACATCAATAACCAATATGACAACTAAAATAAAATAATATATAATAAATAAAATTGAGCAAATGCCAGCTACACTAGAGTGTAAATATACAATAACGTATAAATTGTTTTCATCATATAAAACGTAATTTTATAAATGAGTCATCATCAGTAAGGTTATACAGTCATCTAAAAAAATAATATAATTATAACATCAGAATAAGACACCCTAGGTGCTGGTCAAGCTCTAAGTCTAGCCACTACTCAAAGTAGCTACCAAAAGACTCCTTGTCATCCCAAAGCCTCAAACCTGATCTGCTCCCCCACATAGTGAGATCATCACAGTCCACATCATGAAAATATAAGGTTTAGCACGTATAAAACCAACCATAGTATAACATAATGAAATATCATCAAAACAGATATTCATCAACAACATTTATCCATACCATGGGAATGACAACATTATAACAATTCATTTCCATGCCAAATATAAACCAATCCAAAGTCCAATGTATACACATCGATGCCAATGCATACATATTCTATGATAATAAAGAATTCATAACCAATGTATACAATCCATACCAAATGCATACATATTCCACATCCAAACCAAAGTCACACCACTGTATAATCCCATGAAGTAGCCAACACATCCAAACCAAATGTTGACCTCAACACATCCAAACCAAGTGTTGAATTTGTGAACATCTAACCTGCCCATGTCACACACCTCACCTCTCATGGAAAATATACAGTTGGATTACGTCGTCATGTAACCCTGGTGATCATGGCCACTTCATTCATCGGTATGACTCGGCCTTACCCCCATACCGGTAGCAAATAGAATACTTAATTAGAGGAGTACTTCAAAATCTACCTAATATCTGAAGTGGTTTATTATATAAACTTTGGAAAAGTTCCATATTGGAATCCTCATCATGGGACTCCCAAATTTCATATTTTTCCAAAGATTATATCCTGATCTCACCAAGAGATCTCCCAATCCATACCATAACCTTACTCCTCTAAGTCCTATTAACTTTCCAAACCAAACACACATAGCATATTCCATAATTACATACAAACTTTTCCATAACCATGCCAAATTACTCAATATAACAACATAAATAATTAAACTCCCAAAACAACTATCAACTTAACCAAATTACCCTTTGTGAAATGACAATCTTCACATAAAATAGCATATTAAGAGTTATACTACTCCTATCATGCTCATACTTATCTCATATGAAAGATAAGAAGATTTCCTACAACTCTTATGAAGACATCAAGTCCTAATTTCATCATCTACTTTGCTAAAAATTCTAAAAACCGCAACAACTATAACCAATGCTGGCAGCTTGACCCCTGTTCACTAAAACAGTCATATCTGGAGTTCTAGACCTCCTTTTTGGGTGATTCCAACGCCATTGGAAAGCTAACATCCAAGGCTACAACTTTCATGAAGACCTCAAGACCAACATACTAACGCGCACTAATATAGCGCCCGGCGCAATTATGTTGCGCCCGGCGAAATATCAGTAACCAAATTGCGTACGGCGTGACTAAACTTGCGCCCGGCGTGATTTGGTAATGATGGTCTCTGATGAATTCATGCCCGGCTCCAAGAACTGCGCCCGACCCATTCTGCAACTAGAAACCCTCGAAAACCTTGAAAATTCCTTCCAATCATGAATCGAATCCAAATTACATGAGTTTGAATCATTATAAAGCATAAACAATATCCAAAAATATTTTAAGCAATAAAATCAAGTATTAACCATTATTCCATGGAAATCATGAAGAACCCTAATCAAAACCCTCTCCAGCTCAATCCAGCCTCAATCATGCGTAAAACATGGAATCAATGTGATATTTCAACCCATACATACTAGATTAAGTCTTATAAGTATTACCCTTACCTTAAAAACCTCAGAAATGAAAGATTTGGACAAAACTCTCAAATCCCAACTCAAACTTTAATCCCCCTTTTCAAGGCTTTAGAGGCCAAATCTCTTGAAACTCCAGTTGTGAAGATTGATCATGGCTTGATAAGCTTCCCAAATGTGTCCTCAACTTCCCTCCGGACCAGAGCCCCTCTCTCTACTTTCTCTCTCTAGAAATGTCCATGTCTGACAAATGAGACCCTCCGGTCCTAAGTCCCTATATATTCTCCTTTCTTTCTTCTCACTAGAAAACCTTCATTAATAAGCAGGAGAACTAGATGAATAAGTTGTTAATTTTATAAGCTATAGATGTGTAGGATAAATACATATCTTAACTATGATACATAGAAATTAGAAAGGAGTTAAAGATGTTTTCAAACTTAATATTTCATTGCGTGAATATGCTGCAAGAGTCTAGTTGAACCTAGCTGGTAAGTTGGTCTCTAAATGGATAATATGTTTTTCAGTTTTCTCCTCTAGGTATTATGTGGTATCTGTGTTTGAACAAGGTCAAGGCACACGTATATAAAGTGACTAATCGAGAAAGTACCAGTCGAGGACTTAGTGTCTAACCTAGTATTAGAGGGTTATGGTATTTGGAGGGTAGTCAATGGGCTAATTCCATAGATGGCTTAGTGTTGTAGACTAATGTCATAGTAGGCTTATATTCAAACTATTCTATCATGACAAAATATCATACTTCCTTATTTAAGTGGTGAAACTTGAGAAATCAATCTAGCTTATGCTAGCTGTTGTTTCTAGCCTTATGTTAGTTGTTGTTTTTTGGCCTTACTGTCAGTCGTTGTTTCTGGTATTATATCATTCGTTGTGATTCAATAGGGTCAAACCACCTAAATTGTTCGATCAACCTAAGATATAGGAGATCTCCAAAGTTGTACTACAAGAAAAACGTAAATTTTCGACGGATATAAATCTGTTAGAAAATTTTCAACGGATATTTTCGACAAAATTTTTCGTCGGAAATATAAATTCGTCCGAAATTTCTGACGAAAATATAAATTCGTCCGAAATTTCTGACGAAAATATAAATTCGTCAGAAATTTCCGACGGAAAAATAAATCCGTCGAAAATTTCTTATTTTTAATTATTATTTTTAATTCTTTTTTTTAATTTCTTTTTTTTAATTTCTTATTTTTAATTCTTATTTTTAATTTCTTATTTTTAATTTCTTATTTTTATTTTCTAAAATTGGAATTTTTATTTTTAATTCTTATTTTTTATGTAATCATTTTTACTACTTCTTATTTAAAAAAAAAGATAAATAATTATCTTAGGTGTCACCTACAATAATTACGTACTATTATCGTATTAATATTTAACACCTCTAATTTTTTTTTAGTTTTTTAAAATAAATATTATTTATCTACCTTAAAATAATCAAACTAGTGAATTTATATTTTAGAGAGATGAAAATCAAAGAAAAATATTTTACTCATTTACAAGTAGGAAACAATCTTTATAAATCTTACAAGGATGAAAAATAAAGAAAAAATTTTACAAAAACCAAAATCAAAATCACCCATCTTATAGGGACTAAAATATATTTAAATTTTCTAAAATTAATATTTTCGATCTTAACAATTATTTTAAATAAATAATATTTATTTTTAAATATTTATAATCTACTTAGAGATGTTAGTATATTGTCTTTAAAATTATAGTAAGCAAGTTCAAGTGTGAATATTTTCATATTTGTGTGTTTCATGAGAAATTTCGTCGAAAAAAAAAATTTCGTCAGAAATTTATCTGTTTTTGTCGGAAATCAGCATTTTTCTTGTAGTGTTGATCTGTGTGACGACGCATTAGATAATGTAGATGTATGTACGCTGATGTAATGAATTTGTTGTAAGTTGTTAAGTTGTTATGATGATGTTGTCCTGTTGTAAGATGAAAGATTTTGATATGATCAAATTTTATAATTTGTATGTTGAATTATTTTTACTAACTTACTTGTGTTTTCCTTGTGGTAGAAACTACGACGATCATATTTGGTATAAGAGTACGACTTGATTAGCAGGATGATTGCACATTTGGAGGATAGTCACATTGGAGAATAGTCACGTTGAAGGTGACTAGTTTTGGTTGTAGGCTACTCCTATGTAGTCAAGATTGTGTATAGACGTTGATTGGAAATTAAGTTTAAAGTTTATTTTGCAATTGGTGATGTATTTTGAATATATTGTGATATATTTGATACCATTTACTAGTTGTATTATAAACTTTAATTATGATTAATGTTGTTTAACCTTCTACTACATAGTAGTTGTTTAGTAGTAAGTGCAGTGATCTACCGGGTTGTTACATTTTCGAACTCTAATATCTAATTGTGTAGATATACGTTTTGTTGAACCCTTCAATAAGTAAGTTGGTTTCTGAATGATTACGTCATTTTCAGTTATCTCCTCTAGGTTCTATATGATATCCATATGTGGGTAAGGTCAGGACACATGTATAAAATGAACAATTGAGTAAAGTACTAGGTTGAGGATTTAGTATCTAACCTAGTATTAGAGAGTTGTGATATTTGGGAGGTAGTTGGTAAACTAATCCCATAAGTAACTTAGTGGTGTAGGCTAATACTGTGATGGGCCCATACCTAAACTGTCCTACCTTGATATAGTGTCATACTACCTAGTTTAAATGGTGAAGCCTAAAAAATCAATCTAGCTTATGCTAGCTATTGTTTCTAACTTAATGCTAGTTGTTGTTTTCTAGCCTTAGTGTCAACCATTATTTTCTAGCTAGTATTATATCAATTGCATGATTCAATATGGTCAAGCCTAAACTGCTCATCTTAAGATATAAGAGATTTCCATAACTAATATGTGTGACGACACATTAGATGTAATTATATGTGTTGAATGTTTGAATATGTTAAAGTTGATTAAGTTGTGGTGCTGAAATTTGTTGTTATGTTGTGAATGACTGTATCTTGATATGAAGGTGTTGCTGATTTTTTTGTTGATTATGTTGTAGTAGTTGAAACGTGTTTCATGTTGATTATATGCTAAAATCTTTTTGCAAGTTTATCCTATATTTTTCTTGTAGTAGAAAATGTAATGATCATATTTGATGTGTGAGTATGACAGGATTAGTGGAATAACTTGTATTGCTAGGGATTTATAATCATGTTAATGTTATGTATAGATACTAACCAATAGTTAAGTTTATTTTACTTTTATTAGAATATTTTGCGTATAATATGAATATACTTGAAATTGGTATTTATTGTATTATAAACTCACTTTCGATTGCATATTGTTTAGTATTTCACTATATAATAATTGATCAGTAGTAAGTGTAATAATTCCACAAATTATTTATTGTTATACTATATTTCTTCCTTATTTCTTTCTTCTTTATTTCTGTACATTTTATTTCTTATGTCTTTCTTTCTTCTCCTTTAGTATTTTCGAAGTGTATATTGTGCGGAGGTTAATATGTCATGATAACTCTCAAATCATCAATTCTCTATTATGTAAATTTAACAATCATTTATTATTATCAATAACTACGTTAATAATTTGTTAATAATTTAATGAATTGAAATAAAAAAAAAAAAAAAAATGAATGAGTCTTACGATTAGCAATTTGAGTAATTTTGTTTGTGAAAGGATAGGAGAACAAAAACGGACGTGTGTTTGGAGGATGATAGAAAAGGAGAAACATCTAATAAACTTGACAATGAAACGAAGAAGAAGAAGAAACAAGAAGCAACATAAATTCTAAGACTAGAACAGTTGAAGAGGGATAAGAAGAAGAAAAGGGCAACAGCAAAAGGGAATGAGGAAACAGCAACATTGAATTATTCCCAGATTCCAACCTCAATGAATCCATCCTGGGTGGCACAGGCCCTGAACATGCCATTACAGTTGAAGCCATAGGCGACATCACCGGAATTGGAGACGGCAATGAGGCCTGCCTTCCCTTCATCGAGGCGGTGCTTAACGACAAAGTCCACAGCCTGCTGAAGTGGCATCCCTTTGTATTCCATGACTGCTGCCACCTCACGCGCCAGAGTGCCACGTATGATGGCCTCTCCCTCACCCGTGCACGACACCCCACACACCTCACACGCGTACGTCCCTGCACCTATCAGGGGTGAGTCACCGATCCTTCCGCTCATTTTGTTCATCAGCCCTCCCGTCGACGTCGCCGCCGCGCACCGCCCTGACCCGTCCACCACCACGCACCCCACCGTCTCCGGCGCATACACGCTTATTGGAAGCCCGTTCATTTGCAGCGGACTCTCAATCCCAGCACCGCAGCTATCGTATCCCCCATTCGGGATCCTGTAATCAAACTAGACAAACAAACAAAAGATACACGTTTTTATTACCCCTTTAACTATATATATTATATTAATTACTAGTATTTGGTTTTTATTGTACCAGGATTGTGTTTGCCTCCTTGGCCAATTTCAGCATACCAACGTTATCAGGAGTGATGAAGTATTCGTTCTCCACGACCTCCACACCTTGTTGTCTGGCGAATTCCTCGGCGCCATGAAAAGCGAGGTAGGAATGGGGTGACTTGTCCATGACAAGGCGGGCGAGTGAGATGGGGTTTTTGACGGTGGTGAGACCCGAAACGGCGCCGCATCGTCTCTTGTTACCGTCCATGATGCTTGCTTCCATTTCCACTGTACCCTTTTCTGTGAGGGCAGATCCACGGCCAGAGTTGAAGAGCGGATCCGTTTCCAGTTCTCGAACCTGTTTGTTAGAAATAAATATTAATTTTATGGTTGATGTTGATGACTTGATGGGTATATATATAAAATTAATGTGATTAAAACGCACATGTCATGCACTTACGACAAGTTCGACGACGTCGAGGGCAGAAGCATTGGAACGAAGGGCAGAGATGCCTAGATTGAGACAGCGAGTGAGGAGTTGCTTGGCTTCCTCCTGGCGCTGTGGTGGGAGATTAGGGTCCACACCAGCGCCACCATGCACCGCGATAGCCCACCCTCCCATTATTATTTTCTCTCTCTTGTGTCTTGACTCTTATGTGGATTGCACCATCTTCGCTCATGCTTTTATAGCCAATTTCGGACTTAATGGGGTCAATGGGTTTGGGCTTGGATTGCGGTACGTGGTGCATGAATCCGATCCATGACTTCGACAACTTAGTATCCTTAATAACTACGAAGAGAAGGGTAACTTGCCCCTTTTCGCTGTTTCTCCAGAACCAGTCAAAATTTCTGTGCCCCCCCTCGCCTGTCTCTCTGACAATTTGGAACGGAAAAGGGAATTCATTATTAAAATCCTTTTTTTTCTTTTAGGAGTAATCCTTGTCATTCTGTGCAGTGCTCGCACTTACTTTTAAATACATAGATTTTATGTAATCTATACAGTACCATATGCATCTTTTATTTCCTCTTTAGAGCTTATTATTTTTACTCCATAATTGATAAGAAATAAAATTATAAAATCAAGATTTTTTTTAGTCTTTTTATTATAACCTTTTACACTACGTATAGTCACTAGCAATCATCATTCAATTATTTACTTATTTTAATTTAAAAAAAATTAAGAAGCACGGAGTACATTTTTCGTCTTAGTTATTGATAAAAAAAATTATTCATCAATTATATTAATAAATAAATTCTACTGGAAAGTTTTTTATATAACATTTTTTTATATTCTTTAGTTCAATTTACAATTTTATTTCATTTAAACTAACATAATATTATCAACAAATCGTTAATTAAAGTAATATTGAATTTGATCCTCTTAAAATTTAAGCAAAGTTTTAAATTTAAATTTTGTGTATGAAAAGATTAAGAGAGAAGAGTCCATTAAAGATGGTCAAAGCTAAATTTTTCAACAAAATTTAGTTATCAACAAAGTCCATAGATGCTCCATACATAAAACATAGTTAACAAAACTAACATAATATTAATATTGATTTCATTATTTAAAACGTTTTAAACCTTTTTAAAAATAAGCAAATTGATCTTCTTTTTTTTCTTCTAAAATTTAAAATCATTGATTTTAGTTATTGCAAATAAAAAAAATTATTTTCAATTTTATAAAATAATTTTGTTTCATTTCCATCATTTCAAACTCTAAAATCATTGATATAATGTTACTTTAAAAATGAATAAATAACATTTAATTTAGCTATTTTAAGATTTTTTTAGAAGTGTCACATATACTATTAAATGTTACGCAAGATAGTCATTTGAGGTTTTATACAACATAGAAACAATTAAGAGTATTTAGTAAAATTAGAATAAAAGACTAATGATTTTTAATTTTAAAGGAATGAGAACAAAAAAATTATTTTACGTTAAAATTAGAATATTTCACTTATTCTACGTATGTATTAAGAACATATTTAAATTATATTATAAGAAAAATACTAACTTTATGTACGTTGATGATCTTAAACAAAGATTAATTACTACTTTTAATAATGAGTATTTTGTAACAATGTCACAATATATATATATATATATAT